CTTTGATGACTACGGTGCACCTGACCCAAGCCATGGTCTTTTCAATTGTCTCATATGCATTCAAAAGCTGGGCAATGCCGAAAGAAGACAGAGAAGAATGGGTGCATTTGAATTGTGTTGACGATGAATATTGAATATACTGTAGACTGCCAGAAAAATGCACAAATCAGTCTTAAAAGAAATACAGCCAGAAAGCTCCTTACAAGCAATGATGATGAGACTTTGTTCTGCTTACTTGGGACATGTCATCAGGAAAGATCAATTACTAGAGAAGGACATCATGTTTGGTAAAGTAGAGGGTCCATGAAAATGAGGAAAACCATCAATGAGATGGACTGACGTGACAGACACAACAATGGATGCAAACATACCAACAATCGTAAAGATGACACGGGACCAGGCAGTGTTTCATTCTGTTATACATAAGGTCAACGTGAATCAGAGCCAATTCAACTGCAACTAACAACAAGGAAGTACCTGGTCCAAGTTAGAACAGAAATTCAAGGATCCCCAAGAAGAGTTTTCACAAAGAAGATTTAGCAAAAGAAATACTATGGTTTAGGAGCTTAAGAAGCTGTGATTAAGAATCTCAGTGACAAGGTGAAAGTATATGCTTGCTATGTCCATAAGAAATAAAAAAGCCAATTACAAATTCTAGTAAAATAAATCTGTGCAAGAAAGTCATGGGCCAAATATAAAGCCAATTGAAATGAAGCATGACTTTAAGAATCAGTTGGGTTTAAAAACCCAATTAATACTTGGAATAATTTCCTCAGAATGATTCAAGGCTGATATTTCTTCATTGTGGCCACTGGCGTGTCTTGGACCCTTCTGGGGGGGAATAAAGTTATACAATCATAATAACATAAATGTTATTTACTTATTTTTAATTATTAAAATCAACATACAGACAAAGCATGGAAATATTAATCATATTTACAGAAAAATTACAATTCTACAAAAGTCTAGTATTTAAAAAATAATGGAAAAGCTGACAGAAGTTGGGAGGTGGTTGGGAAAGTGACATGCAAGGGTATTAATTGCTATCAGACTTGTGAATAGTACATAGATACTTCCTAAACATGCTTGTCTTAGTCATCTAGTGCTGTTACAACAGAAATACCACAAGTGGATGGCTTTAACAAAGAGAAATTTATTTCTTCACAGTAAGGTAGGCTGAAAGTCCAAACTCAGGGCGTCAGCTCCAGGCGAAGTCTTTTTCTCTCTGTAGGCCTTCTTCTCTTTGGTGTTCCCCCAGATTAGGAGCTTCTCTGCACAGGGACCAAAGGACGCACTCTGCTCCTGGCACTTCTTTCTTGATGGTATGAGGTCCCCAACTCTCTGCTTGCTTCCCTTTCCTTTAATCTCTTGAGATATAAAAGGTGGTGCAGGTCACACCCCAGGGAAGCTCCCTTTACATTGGATCAGCTTTGTGACCTGGGTAAAGGTGGTGTTACAATCCCACCCTAACCCTCTTTAACATAAAATTACAATCACAAAATGGAGGCCAACCACACAATTCTGGGAATCATGGCCCAGCCAAACTGATACACACATTTCTGGGGGGGACATAATTCAAACCATGACAATGCTAGATCCAGAATGCAGCTTAAGAAGATATTTAAAAAGTTTCAGTAGCACTAGAGGTACTGAAAATAATAATGCTGGAGCTGGTAACAGTTGGGCGATAGAGACAATGAGTGAAGCCAGAGTATAGTGTAAATGAGCTAACTCCTCAACTTTTATGAAATTATAAACCAACAAGTAGAGGTTTTAAGGCTTATTATTTAGATTGGGAGTAACTACCAGGAGGATTTTAAAAAAGAAATAATTAAAAGTGGTTAGTGTGTTTGGGCGAGTGGGTGTGGTAGGAGACCTTTTCTTTGTGATCTGTACTCTCTTCCTCCGCTGTTTGATTTGTTCAAACCATACAATAAGCAAAAGCACCTTTGTATTATTGTAAACATTTCCCTATCACTAATGGACTTGTGTAGGGTCTCTGGTCAGCTCCATCACCTTTGCTGGGGTCTTCAAAACAGTACAGAGGAACGAACTGATTTAGATGCAGAAGACAAAAGACAGGAAGAAGCTGATGATTTTGAAGAAGGTAATATCTGGTTTTCATTTGGCTTTCATACAGGAACTCTGTGTGCCTGCCTTGGTTTAATGTTCTTAAATGCCACAAAACCCAGCTTCTGAAAAAGCTGTTACATGTATGGAAAATCTTAACTTTCCAGCAACGAAAACAACTTGTTTCATATGAAATCTATCCATTCATCTGCCTGTCCATCACATAACTGGAATTACGTGTCAGCTACCGAACTGACAATCAGTTCCAAACTCTCTTGTTCTTAGTCACATACTAAGTGTTCAACAAATTAGTCTTGATTGATTGTGACTAGGCATTTATCCCCACCTCCCACTCCAAACTTATTTCTCACTATTCTCCACAATATAGCTTTCATTCCAAACCGACAGGTTTTCTCACTTCCCCACATATACAAAACTCATGACTTCTTAGGATATTTCTACCTGTCCAGGAGCCCTGGTGTACAGTGGTTAAACCCTCGGCTGCTAACCAAAAGGTCAGCCGTTCAAACCCACCAGCCGCTCCAGGGGAGAAAGATGTGGCAGTCTGCTTCTGTAAAGATTACAGCCTTGGAAACCCTACGGGCAGTTCTACTGTGTCCTACAGGGTTGCTGTGAGTCGAAATCGACTCAACAGCAGTGAGTTTGGTTTTTTTGTTTGTTTCTCCAAGAGAAAAAAAATTTCCTGTTCTGTAAAACTTGGCTCTAATCTCACTTCCTTCATTAAATTTCTCCAGCAGCCACTCCACGGCTCTGTGTTTACCTAATATTTTTTAATCCACTGACAAGGTTTAGCACTTTGGGATATGTTGTCTTGAACTGTACACTAATTGGTTTGATTTGATCTAGTTTAGTTTAGTTTTTGTTCTTTGAATTGAAGGAAGGATCAATGCCTTCTACTTATTTTGGTTTTTTATATGGATGCTCCTGAATAAGACTGGCCTATAATTTTCCTTAGTCTTTGTTTGGTTTTGGTATTAAGATCATAGCATACTCCTAGAACAAATTAGGGATTAGCACCTTTTTCCATTTTATGGAACTATTTCAATAAGTTTGGAATGATATCCCCATTACAATTTTGGTATTTTGACAATAACACCATTAGAACCTGATGGGTTTGTGTGTGTGTGTGTGTGTGTGTGTGTGTGTGTGTGTGTGTATGAAGAAGAGAAAGAGACAGAGGCTTTAAACTACTGATTAAATGTATTTAATGACTATAGAGCTATTAAGGGTTTTCATTTCTTCATGAATCAGTTTTGGAAAGTTCAGTTTTGCTAGGATTTTGGCCATTAGGTACACAGTTTTAAATTTATTGGCATAAATTTGTTCATATCTACTTAGTCTTTTCTGTCTCTGCTGCCTCTATAGTTATGGCTTCATTTAAATTCCTAACATAAGTCTTTATGATTTGGGGGGATTCTCTTTTTTGCTTAATAAGTCTCACTAAAGACATCTATATTTCTTTTCTCTAAGAACCAATACTTGGCTTTGCTATTTCTAGTATTATCCTTATTTTCTATTTCATTACTTATTCTTATCTCTATACCCTTCCATTTAGTTTGTTTGGATTTATTCTGTTGCCATTTTTTCTAACTTAAGTTGGATACTTCATTAATGTTCAGCCTCCCTTATTTTCTAATGTAAATATCTAAGGCTATACTTTTCCCTCAAAGTAATGCTTTTTGCTGTGTCTCACAGCTTTTAATTTGAGGATAGCTTTCTTTATCATTTATTTCTAAATATTATGTTACTATCATTATGAATTTTCATAAACATTTGCATTTAGAAGTATGTTTAAAAATTTCCAGTGCTTCAACTAATAGTCCTGTGCCTAAGTCTTTTCATATTTTAGCCAGTCTATCTTTGGAATAGATTTTTGAGAAGTTGGATTTTGGATCAAAGGGTCAGTGACTATACAGATTTGTTATACACCTACTCCTCACCTACTCTGCATTTATTGACTATCTCATTATCTGACATTTCATGTCATGACAATAGTAAAAAATCTGCTATTGGACTATTTTGCACATTAACGACATACATCTGGCAGTAACAAACGCCGAAGTATGAGATGAGAGTAACACTGGCTATGGTGGTTAAGGTTATGTGTCAGCTTGGCTGGGTCGTGAGTCTCAGTGGTTTAGCAGTTATGTAATGATGTAATTTGGCAGTTACGTAATGATGTAATTTGGAAGTTATGTAATCACCTCCATTTTGTGATCTGATGTGGCCATCCTCCATTTTCAGATAATGCCGATTTTTACATAACGTCCTGATCTTTGGAACATAACCGTGTCGATAAGTGAGGAGTGGGTGTATTGCCAAATCCTCCTCAATGGGGGTTGAATCATGCTTTCTTAGCAATAACATATGAGAGTGTCAGTTTCTGCACAGCTGCACTAACATAGTATTATGTGAAACTTTTACATTTTTGCCACTGATAAATGAGAAGTGATATCTCAGTATAGCTTTAATTTGAATTTCTCTTTTCTAAGTGGGGTTAAGAGTCACTTTTTCTCTCTGAACTGTTTATTCATTTCTCTAGTATGTTTACATAGGATTGTTGGTGATCTTTTCTTCCTTATTTTTGGAACTTATTGTATACTAAGGATACTAAATCTTTGTGAAACAAGATGAAAAATCTTTCCTAGTTTATCACTTACCGTTGTATTTCATTTACTGATTTTATGCCATACAAAATTTTCCTGTTTATATATAATCAAATTTATCTATATTTTATCTATATTTAACCTTTAGAAATGGTTGTGATCACTCTTTACTGTAATAGGTACTACATTGGCAAGGAACAGCCAGGGTCAGTTGAAAAAGGGTTCTATTTCCCATGTTTTGTGATAATGTATTTATCTTTTCTTGTCTCAGATAATCCTGAAGAACTTCGTGGGTGTTTCAAGAAGGCTTATGATATATTCTGCAATTTGGAGAAGAAAGGTCCCAGGCTGACCGAAGAGGAGGAAGAAGCCCTGAAGAAGAAGCTTACAGACACATCTGAGAAACCCTTATGGAGGACTATCATGAACATCAACGCCATCCTCCTCCTGGCAGTGGGGGTTTTCGTCCATGGCTACTTTGCCTGAACTCTTAACTGAGCTGCTCGAATATTAGCTAAGCAAGCATAATTTTATTGATTTTCACTTTTATAGATTTTGTGTTGCATAAGAGAGAGAGAGACAGTTCATAATTTTATCTGAGATGACGATAGACTTGGTTGTTTGCTTTTATTGTTCCTTTGTGCCAATAAAGGAAGATTGTTGTTGTTGCTAGGTGCCATCATATCAGTTCTGACTCATAGTGACCCTGTGTACAACAGAATGAAACACTGCCCAGCCCTGCAGTAACAATTTAGAAAGCCAAGGAAGTGACCCTATATGTGTATAAACTAGGAACATTAGGTCCAAATTCTTTTTTTAAATAGCTCTCCAAGCATATTGCACTACCTTACAGTTGCTTTCTGCAGTTTCCGAAGATATCCAGTTAGAAAGAATGCCTTTCCCAACTCTGCCACACCTGGTAACCTCTTCATCTATATAACAGTGATGTTCTCCTCCTGTATAAACCTCACTAATCTAAAGGTTTGAAATACATAAATATTTTCTAATAGGTGTGGGGGTAGGGTGAGCTGAAAATCCTTGTTGTAAACTTTTTTATGAATCTAATGGAAATTATTAGCTTATGTTTTAAATAAATTCACCTTCCCACTAAATGTGACAATATCAAGTCACTGATTTTTGCAACCGCTTTATCGATATGTTATCGCATACCATAAAACTCACCCATTCAGTGGATTTTTAGTATATTCACAGAGTTCTGTAACCATTACCACAATCTAATTTTATATCTTAACATTAATTTATTTTTTAGCATGACTTACTTAAATATATACATTTCTCTGTCTTTATAGTTCTGTTTTATTTTGTCATTTTGAATGATAATTATCTCTGTGTAGAATTGGTTTTAAAACACATTTGTTTTACAAGTCAATGAATTAAAATGTTTTTAAATAAATGACATAAGAAGCACATATCTATCTTATTGTTATAAAAATTCAAACAAAGTTTTGTTCTATAGAATTAAATATGACACTATATACTGACAACCTGGAGTCCCTGGGCACTCAACTGTTAAGCAAGCTAATAGGTTGGAGTCTACCCAGAGGTGTCTTGTAATAAAGACCTGGTGATCTACTTCTGAAAAATCAGTCATTGAAAATCCTATGCAGTACAGCTCTATTCTGACACACATGGAGTTTCCATGAGTCAGAACTGACTCAACAGCAACTATGAAAGAAAATGACAATCCACTCCTGTCATCCATGCCACTAACTTCACAGAGGAATAACTGTTAACAGATTAAAGTATAAATTCCAGTAATTTTTCCATTCATTTATGAAAGACACAGATTTTTACATAATGCAGTCTTTGCTTTATGTGTTGTTCTGTGATAGGATTTTCTGCATAAAATACACCCACTCCTCACTTATTGACACGGTTAACTTCCAAAGACCAGGTTGTTAAGCAAAAATTGGCATTATGCAAAAATGGACAATGACCACATCAGATCACAAAATGGAGGATGACTACATCATTCCATAACTGTCAAATTACATCATTTCATAACTGTCAAATTACATCATTACATAACTGCCAAATTACATCATTACATAACTGCCAAACCATTGAGAACCATGGCCCAGCCACACTGACACATAACCTTAACCATCTCAGCCAGCGTAACTCTTCCCTTGCACCTCGGCCTTCACTACTGCCGGATGAACTTAATTAATGTGCAAAATAGTGGGATACTAGATGTTTTACTACTGTCATAAATGTGAAATTTTGGATAATGAGATAGTCTGTAAGGGAGGAGTAGGTGTATATCTTGGAGATCTCTGCCTGTCAGTCTCCCTCATTTTAAACAGCTTTATCATTATTCCATAGAATGGTTTACCATAATTTGGCCACTTTTCCACTGAGGAGCATTCATGTAGGCTAAAATTATGCTATTATCAACAACGTTTAACTACGCATACCTGTATATTCATCCTTTGGCACATTAGCTAGGTTTTTTTTGTTCTCTTCTTTAATGATTGATTCCTAGAAATAGTATACTGGGAAAAAGGGTATAAACATATAATAGTTTGATAAAAATTAAAAATTTTTTTTTGGCAAAATGGGGGCATGATGGCATGACCAGTTGCATCTTCACGTCCCCCCACAACCATGTCAGAAGAAAATGAGTAAGAATCAATGCAGCTGATGATCTCAGAACTCTGGACAGCAATTGAAGTGTTAGAGAACCAAAATGAATGCTAAAGCAAGAAAAGGAAAGAATACAGGCAGTGAGAAAGCAAAGGCTTACCGTTCTCACCCAACTCACCAGCCCAGCTCATCATGGCCATTTTGGGAAGCCAGCAGCTGTGATTCCTGATCAGGGAACCCAGGGCAGGAGCAATGCAAAGGACACAGACCAGGATGGAGAGATTGAGAAACAGCCCTAGAACAGAGCAGCAAGTTGGGCAAGGCATATACAAGGGCTCAGCAGTCCTGGGAGAGAGTTGCACACGGGCACTGCATAGATTTGAGTCCCAGACACTCCAGAACAGTGCTGCCTGGGGAGAATGGTGTGGACTGAACTGTAGGAATACCCAGGTGGTGAACAGGAAGGCTGGAGTCAGCACATCTGGGAAGGGCACAGGGAAAGTGCACCAGTGAGAAAGTTTGTGCTCCCGTGACTTAAGAAAGCACAGCAGTGGAAAAACACTCTGGGACCCACAAACACACATAGGCCGTAGAGCCTGTCCATCAGCCATGGTGGGAAATGCCCATCGGCCAAGCACCCACTGAGAGCAAGCTAGCTGTAGCAGGACCCCTGCCGGATTGCTCAGGCTATTTTCAGAAACCAGAGACAAAAGGCCAAGCCTAGTTCTTTGTCCCACTGTTGACCCCCTTGGCCTTTGGCTATGGTTATATATACCATAGTTACTTTCCCAAAGTGTTATGTTTCAACTCTGTCAGATTCTGCTCAACTTCACCAAATCTGTGAGACAGTCACTTTGTCCGCAGTTTCTAAATAGCCAGAAGGACATTAGAAAAAGGGTACCAATCGCTGATACTGATTCCTCCGTGAATATTACATCCTTCCAATCAGAGTCTAAACACATCAGGTGCTCCCAGAGCATTAACACATGGAAAGTAATTTTTGTTACACCTTCTCCTCACTTGTTGACTATCTCATTATCTGACATTTCACATTACAGCAATAGTAAAAATCTACTATCCAACTATTTTGGGCATTAATGACATACGTCTGGCAGTAACGAATGCTGAGGTGCAAGGCAAGAGTAATGCTGGCTGCGATGGTTATGTGTCAACTTGGCTGGGTGACAATTCTCAGTGGTTTGGCAGTTACGTAGTGATGTATTTTGGCGGTTATGTAATGATGTAGTCATCCTCCATTTTGAGATCTGATGTGGTCATTCTCCATTTTTGCATAATGCCTATTTCGCATAATGACCTGGTCTTTGGAACCAAACCATGTCGATAAGTAAGAAGAGGGTGTACTTACAACAAGAAGCAGACAGCACACCAGAACAAATGCAAATCCATTTTCCAAGTGTTCCCCAGGATCCAGAAGGCTGTCTGAGCAGAGATGGCAACTCTTCTACATACACCCCACTCTGTGCCATAGGTGAGAAACTTAAAAAGGGGAGCTACGTTCTTCCAGTCTCCCTTGACCAGGCAGGCCCAGTTAGATGGGCTGAAAAATTATGCTACATGTGCTTCCACCTAGTACCATAGCTGAGGGACCACGAGGTCCCTTGATTAACAATTTTTATACCCTAAAGCCTACATGACATACCACACTCTGGCCTGACCACCCTGTTTGGGGGAGGGGGAGGTCAGACACCTTGGCACCAACCCAGAAAAGTATCTTTTTAACCCTGCTCAGGCCTCATCATACCCCCTCCCTTTCTGTGGCCTGTTGCCAAAGTGATGAGTTGGGGGACTCTCAACTCATTTATACATGTTTAAGTGTTGCCTGGCTTTTTTGAAAAAAAAAAAATACCTTAATTGCTAAGGATATTTTCAGAAAGGCCAAATAGAGTTCTTTGTCCCACAGTCAGACAAGGAGTTTTCAGATATTGCAGTCCGAATTATCTTAACTTCAAATTTCCACAGAAACAGAGATCCTCAATCTGCTTCTCAGGTCAGGCTTGCAGTTAACCGCTTTATATACACTCTGCTTTACTTTGAGCCTAACAGTTTTACTTCATGTAAAATTTCCCTACATTCCACCTTTCTTCAAAATCCCATAATTATCCTATCTCTCTATCTCTTCCTCTGTTTGGTGAGAAGCTGCACTTCTGCTTGCATGTCTCCCTTGCTGCAACAGCTGAATCAATCTAGCTTTGTATGTCCACAGGTGTGCTCTTGATGGGCTCCAGTTGATGGGTTTCAAGAGGGATAAGAAAGGGGCTAGAAGTGAAGATAGAGACTGATGATGTTGGGTCACTGAGCACAAAATGGTGTCCTTAAAAATACTATATCAGATGAGTTAATACTAGGGAGAAGAGAATGGGGACAAAGAGGAAAGAAGAATAGAGGATGAAGGGGCCAGAAGAAAGGCTGAGAAGGGGACAGAGGGTGATGGTCTTTTAAGGAAAAGACGGTGCAATCCCTGACTAAGAGGCTGTCTGATGGTGTCCTGTAGACCTTTCAATTAGTTGTGAGAAGTGGAAGAGATCTGACTCCCTTGCAGATGGAGTTAATTACGCATCTTGTGGATTTCCAACCCACAGGTTTCTGTGGAGAAAGTAATCTGAAGTGGGTATTATGTAGCAAGAGGAAAAAAATTGCAAGATGAACATATAGAGTCTGTGGGTGAGGAAAAGCAGGGTGGCCTTAAGGACAACATTTTTCAATAATGAATCAGTAGGAAAGCATCTGTTGCTCCCAGGACTCAGGCACCATGACTCCTGGATTACCGCCTATCAGGAAATAGAAGCAAAGCACCAGAACTCTAATTTGTATTTTGCTCATCTGAATTTGATCTTTGAGTATGATGAAGGGGTGCAGGT